TTTATTTTGGGAACCTTCAGTCTAGGTAGCTTAAGTTCACAATTCGATTCTGTCAATTATGTAACTGTGCGCGTGGTGCGAGACGCGTGCCGACGTGGACCCTCGTCCGGCGCCCCGTGGTGATTTAAGCGGACGGAGGGGATTATGCACCGTGGGGAGTCGGGAAAGGGACGGGCGACTGTGTACCGCACCGCGCGGCTTGTGGGGCTCAGTTGATGGGCGGCCTGGGCCCAGAATGTCTCCTTTAAATTTGACTTGTAAGGGAATTTAAGGTGTTGCGTCGGAGTATGTAAATAAATGGGACTTGTAAATATTGAAATACGAGTGTGAGTAGTGCTGAAGGGGCAGGGATCGGAGGATGGAGCATAAAAGGCCATATGCTAACCCACAGTCAGGAAAGAGGTCGTTTCCAAGGTGTCTGGCCAGAGTAATTTACAACGATCAGTTCTCTTTATCTGTTGATTTTACACAGTGCACAAAGCGATTATACACAACACATGCAGGGCCTCCCTAGCCTAGCCGATACTGGAGCTTCTCCGGTTGACTCCTAAGTGCCCTTGCCAGTGGATTTCCTGGCACTCCATCCTCCCCAAATTATCCCACGGTCCAAACAATAGCGATTACACACAACACCCACAGGACCTCCCTAGCCTAGCCGATACTGGAGCTTCTCCGGTTGACTCCTAAGTGCCCTTGCCAGTGGATTTCCTGGCACTCCATCCTCCCCAAATTATCCCACGGTCCAACAATAGCGATTATACACAACACACACAGGACCTCCCTAGCCTAGCCGATACTGGAGCTTCTCCGGTTGACTCCTAAGTGCCCTTGCCAGTGGATTTCCTGGCACTCCATCCTCCCCAAATTATCCCACGGTCCAAACAATAGCGATTACACACAATACACACAGGACCTCCCTAGCCTAACCGATACTGGAGCTTCTCCGGTTGACTCCTAAGTGCCCTTGCCAGTGGATTTCCTGGCACTCCATCCTCCCCAAATTATCCCACGGTCCAAACAATAGCGATTACACACAACACATACAGGACCTCCCTAGCCTAACCGATACTGGAGCTTCTCCGGTTGACTCCTAAGTGCCCTTGCCAGTGGATTTCCTGGCACTCCATCCTCCCCAAATTATCCCACGGTCCAAATGATAGCGATTATACACAACACATACGGGACCTCCCTAGCCCAACCGATACTGGAGCTTCTCCGGTTGACTCCCAAGTGCCCTCGCCAGCGGATTTCCTGGCGCTCTACCCTATCCAGCGGTCCGAATATAAGGAGCACACATAGACCTTGCCGCACACGAAATATTTGTAACTTTACCCCACATGGACACTGGGGACACTGCAAGGGACGGAACCGGGGAGATAGATGATGCACGTCACGCCCCTGTGCGTGGAAAGTCCACCGACGCGGCCATGGGTTAGGAGGGAGATAAGAAGCGAGTGAAATGGAATTGAAGACTGTACACGTAGAGGAATCGGATTTCCTGAATGAAGCTCAGCTCGGATAGACCCCACTTAAATAGTAGGCCTCGCTTGGGTAAGCCCTGGATACGTGCAATAAGTCGCGAAGTGAAGAGAAAGGGTGAGAGCGAGTTGAGGATCGATTATTGAGGATGAGTGCATAGCCGACAAAGGCTAATCCGTTCGGTTGCCGGCGCGGGCCCCATAAAGCCGTGGCTATACGGAGACGATGCAGGCAGCCCGGAGGGACCTAGTGACCCCGCCCGGTTTTAAAAGATAGGTTAGGTCCGCTATCGGTCCATTGAGTGATCAGCGCAGGATGACATTCGATAAGTGACGTAGGTAGTTTCGGAGATGGTTAGGACCCCAGGCGTCCCAGCGAGGAGACGTATGCCGCCGGTTAAGTAATGTCCCGCGAAGAAACGTGTGATGCTGCAGGACGGGGGTGAACATTAAATACCAAAGCATGCGAGTCGGGTGATCGCGGTAAGTCGGTACTGGCCACCCCGCTGTCAGTCGATTTACTCCGGCCGTGCAGCGGTCATTTCGGTTAGGTCTGTGACGACAGCTTAACTACCAGCAACGGATAGATAGGGCTTCGGGCACCTATAACGCTGGTAGTCGTGGATTGTGTGAAGCCAACGGAGGCTTACCCGTTCGGTCGCCGGTGCTGTTCCAAAAGCCGTGGCTATACGGAGACGATGCAGGCAGCCCGGACGGACCTAGTTACCCAGCCCGGTTTCAAATTTTAGATAAGCCCATTGCGGGCCGTGGTACGCTTAGTTTTCGTTTTATTATAGGCAATTTGGCATAAACTGGTAGTCATGGATTCGTGTAAAGCCGACGAACGACTAACCCCTTTCGGTCGCCGGGGGCTGGCCCGAAAACCGCGGCTATACGGAGACGACGCAGGCAGCCCGGACGGACCTTAGTTACCCAGCCCCGGTCTCAAATTTCAAATAAGTCCCCCGCGGAAACCGGACTACACAGTGCCCTGCGAGCCGTAGTCTCGGAACCGCTGGCCGAAGACATTTATGTTTTTTTTTTGTGTAGGTAGTTCGACATGGTGATGGGACGGACCGCAATAAGTCACGTAACGCGAAGGTCGAGTGCCGAAATATGTGGTGGGTCGTATTCTAATTGTGTAGCGTGAGCATTATGAAGCGTTTGTCTGATGTACGGAACATTGTGGTTATGAAGGGATAACGGTTAAATGACATTTAAGGCCAATGACTCGATAACGACTTTGCGCGCGCCCTAGCACCACCGGGGGAAGTTAGGAAAAAGGGGAGGGACCGGAGATGGTCAACTCTGGTAAATTACGAGGTATAAGTGGACGAATGACATGGTTGTAAGGGGATGGATAAATGGACGAATGATTGATACATATATCTGGTGGGAGATGACCCTCAAGCTAGGAAGGGCGCTGTTGTTTGAGAGTGGGACTTTTTGTTAAATAGAGTTGATTTCTATACCAATATGATCGAGGGTAATTGATTAACATTTATCATTATCTCCCATTCCCTAACCCTGGCCTATGTGTTTCCGATGATTGATCGCCCCGAAGTAGAGTCTGAGTCGGAACGGGTTCGCGAGGGGCTGGACACAGAGGAGGGCTTCTAGGAGCGCGCCGACGTAGCTCTCAATAACGAAAGACACTGGCCGGTTAGCTTGCTCTCCATCACTATCGAAAGACACTGCCGGTTAGCCCCGCAACGCCGCGAAACCCCGCTACAGTTCTATCCCCAGCAGGGCGCGTATGGCTGAATAGCCCAGCGGGACGCGGGTTAGTGGTCAGCAACACGTCCAGGGAGCGACTGCCCGTCCTCCTCGCCCGCCCGGCCGGCCAGTCCCGGCCCGCCGACCGGTCACCGCCGGAGGCGCCGAGCGGCACAGGTACGGTATCTGACAGTAGCGGCAGAGACTGTACACTAGGGTATATTAGAAGAATTCAAGGGAGGTATTTAAAGAATGAGGGTATAGTTTGGGTATGTTCGAAGAAAATGATCAGGGTGTTGTTTTAGACCAAAACCCCTGATATGCTTAAAAGGAATCATTTGAGGAATCATTTGAGTATCTTAAGGGCATTCCGCCAGGAAAACGGCAGAGTTATAGGAGCATGACACACCATGATCAAAGGGAATAGAGAATCGTTTTGGTTTTCAGTGTAGTTTTGATCGCAGATGATGTCTTCATGCATTTTGGGCCAGGGCGGGTCAGGTCAGGTCAGGTCAACCAGTAGGGGTCCTGCCGGGTATTCGTAGAAGCTGTCAACCGCCTCTGACAGCTTCGTAACATGCTACGAAGGCACCAAAACTACTCTGCAAATGCTCAAAAGGCTTCTTAATTCAAATTCAGCTCCAAAAACTAGCCTAGAAACACGTAAAACTCGAAAAAGTAAACCGAGGCCATCAAATGTCATTGACCTGACCTGACCTTCAGGTGACCTTGACACTCAACCTCATGCATTAGAGCAGCATCATATCACCATCACATGTTTTAGAGCTTGAAATCACGAAAAGACTGCAAACGCACAGCTAACGCGAGCCGACATGTGCCGAATTGCGATTCTGGTCAAACATGGTCTTGAAAAGTAGGTCACAGGTCAAAGGTCATTTGGGTCAGGATCATGATATTTTTAAAATAGGTGTAAAATTGATCAACTCGAGGGTACCGAAAGTTTCGTCGCGATCGGCCGCTTTTTACGCAAGTTATTCGAAAAAAACGAGGGGGGTCCGTTCGACCCCCCCCCCCCCTATATCGTACGAGGTTTAAAGGGACTATCCCACATTTAACATGGGGTTTCATGGGTTGAGATAGCCAAGTTTGCGGCGAGGTTCAGAAACCACTATCTATCTAGGTTGCAACCCCCGCGGCATCTTGGTGTTGAAGAAATTCGTTCCCTTCATTTGAAAATGGGCCTTGTACAAGGCCCTATCTTCAACATGGAGCGACCGTTAGTGTGACGTCACCTCGTTTAGTCATTCTGATTTAAATGGGTTTGTTCGTTGAAAAATCGCTTAAAACTTGGTCTGAACTTTGTTGTGGTGCCTACAGAGTAAAAAGAATCAGCTTTATGACAGTAATGTGGCCTGGGGAAGGAGGTAATTTTGGGCTGTGACGTCACATATTTGAAAGTTTGTGTTTGGAATATGGGAAGCCTAAGATGTTTAATGAAAAATAAATGCCAGAACCGTGTTCCTGGTCATCCAATCTATAATGTCGGGCACAATTTAACTGGTTTTAACAACATTTTAGAAGGTGGGATAGTCCCTTTAAGCAGATTTGACTTGAACTCCAGGGAAACGTCATGCTTTTTCTAAAATTATACAAGAAACTCATTTACATAGAGCATGCTAACAGCTTTTTTTGTATTTGTGTGTTGTGCCATCGGTAGTTTCCATATTTCACTGGTTGAGCGCTTGGGCGCGTTTGTTGTGCGATAAAGCATTATCAATACACTGTAAACTCATTTTGTCGGTGAACAATATCACTGAAACCTATAGGTTTCAAGCCTTGAGCACATCATTTTATTACACTAGGCATTCATACTTTGTCAAATCATATAATTATTAGCTAACTACACATGGTGTAGCTGCTATGTTTATTTTATTTAACACCGCCATTCAACGATAAGGTAGTTGTTGAGACATCACATTTTCAACACTCAAAACTCGATGAAAAATAAGCTCTCGTCTGCCTTAGAGACCGGAGGCGTCGGGGTAGTGCTCGGTACCGGAGTCCGCTTCTGGTTCTGCTCTTGCTGTTCTCCACTCACCCTCTGAAAAATACACAACAAGGTGATACCGTTGGCCATGCCATAGAGTTGATGCGCCATTATCGATACGAAGACCATTTCATTAGACAGCTCTCTATACATCACTATCGACGTAACGGTGGACAAGTCGTTAATGTACAGGTCCCAGGTCCCATGATGACGAGCAAAGAATTGTTCTATTACAGCCCAATGTTGTGGTCTCAGCATATTTCTCAGGTTGTTTCTGGACCCAGCTAATAGCTCCCGGCAGAGCATATTCAGGGAGGCTCGTAAGTCTGATGCGATTTTTTTTAAACCCGCAACAACTACGTGAATTCGTGTTAACCATTGAGTTCTAATCAAATATAACAATTAATTCGGACACTTTCGCTAAATAGTCAATAGGCTCGCATTAAATTACCTATCAAATACCAGTTACCACCAGCTTTGGCTTTCGGGAGAGAGATATGGAAGAAGAATAGCATCCCGAGATGCTTGAGTGATGAGTTACTGCACCTTATGTATACTTTAACATCGTGTCTTGTCAGATCATTCCCCTTTACACCATGACTAGCAGAATGCCTCAAGCCCTCCGGTCCTATGACGCTCGGCACACGTCGCCCTGCAACGTCCAAGTCCTTCTGTAAAAATCGCTAATCAGGAGCTCTTTCGGCGTCCTCACCTCTTTGATGTCACAAGGTATTATCGCCACTCAAGGTGCCCAAAACACAGTTCAGCAAGCGGCGGGCGGGGCTTATAGGGGAGACCATCCTCGCCAATTACGGTGCCCAAACACAGCTTTGCTCGCGGCGATTGGTGTCGTGAGGGGGGAGAGAGAGAGAGAGAGAGAGAGAGAGAGAGAGAGAGAGAGAGAGAGAGAGAGAGAGAGAGAGAGAGAGAGAGAGAGAGAGAGAGAGAGAGAGAGAGAGAGAGAGAGAGAGGAGCCATCCCCGTTTATCACGTTCACCTGAGCCTCCAGGGTAGCTAGCCGGTTGTACTCGTCGATGGGGGTGCCTTCAGGCAGGTGGTCGGGCGGCTGCGGCGCGGGCCCTCTCTTCCTTCTGGGCAGCGCCGTGTTGGACTTGAACCATCGCTGAGGGCACGGGGAACAGGCAATTGTTGTAAAACGTGGTGCAAGATGTTGGGGTTGAGTAAGACGCATCCAGCAATGATTATAGTTTCCAGCGCTGTTTTAGTGATGGCATTCCCTGAGGCTAGTTACGGTCAGTAGGTAAGACTACATAGTTATTGGTCAACTGGTTCGAATTCGGTCAGTTGGGTTGAGAGTCAACCAAAAGGCCGCTCAGAGTCAGCCGGGAGTAGCACAGGGTCTCAAAGTCAGCTGTGTCAGCTATCTGCTGCGCATTGGTGTCAGGTGTCAGCCCACCGCCCGACCGGCCACTTCGCCGCCCACGGCGGTTACGGCTGCCTGAATGAGTGCACCAATCGAGCGGCCGGGGGCGCTGGCTGCGTGACAGCGGAGCGTATCGACAGGGGCATCGGTCCGCCGGCGACCCCCTCCTGGTCGGGCCCACAACAGACCGTTCGGGTCTGATCGACCGATGGGCCGACGCGCCGCCGACGCAGTCCGATAATTCACCGGACTCCGGCCGACTGATTCGTGATGGGAGTTCGATCCGAGTGGTTCGCTTTCGGGCTATGTTGGACGGTGTATTTTTGGACAAAGGTGATAGAGAAGTGATGTGACGCTGGGCTGTCCGAGACTGTTGGTCGGGAGACTCCTGGTCGGCCGACGAATACGACGGAGGATGGGTTCGTCGGAATGAGTGTGATAAAACACATCAGTTGCGGTCTGTAGAATCTGACCCAGGCGCGGTGAAGTTCAGCTAACCGTGAAAAAGACAGCCGCTGCACCCGGCATTGCGCCGCCGCCTTCCTTTCAATACGAGTCGGCTGCATACACCGGTCGATGCTGAGGCATGCCGTCGGGGTCGGCACAAACAGTCGGTTTGGATCGCGGCTTCGGCCAGGTGCTGGCCCTCAGACGAGCTCGATAAAAAGGAGCGCTGAAGCGGCAGCTCACCGGCGCCGACACATGCACGGGCACAGCCACACGCAACACGAGTGGAGAGTCGGCCTGCAGCCGGGGCCGAGTTATTCCGGGAAACACACCGAGCGGTTCGGTGGCGTTACCATGCTGCCGTACAGGAGAACGGCGGAGACGAGAACTGTGGAACTCTGGTGAAAGGATACGAATAAGGAACTAGGAAGAAGTAGTTTTTAACTTATGCCCACATAACATGCCATAAGTTTCCGTGTAATTTACTGTTAACGTTTGTTTACAACTGCAGCAGAAAACTTAAAGCATGTACCTACTTATACAAGAGCAAGAAGTTCATTTAGACTTCTCAAGCACGTCCAAAATGTTATGAAATATGAAATTTCGATGACGCTAGAACCGAGTGATGTTAGTTGATCCGTTCTGGGATGTCAAACAAATACTCGTACTCGTTGCACATTGATAGCTAAGCTGGAAAACTACATAGCAGCGCATGGATTGTCTGGAAAAATGCCAGTGGCTCATAAAACTTGCTAGTGCCTTGCAGAATGTAAAGTTGCCAAAGCAAGTTCTTTGTCAGGTTGCATGCGTTTGAATTAGCCATTATGTTGAAGGCATATTTCAAGCGTGATACGTTTTTGGGTACGATCGATTAGATTATGTAACAGTCCAATATACAAAAGAGCGCTCGTCTGTCAGTATAACACTGCGGAGGTGAAATGCATATTTAGCGCTTACACCGAAAATGGAATGCGAGCTTTATCGCTGTTCATTTTATACTTCTCGATTGGGTGGTTATGTCATGAGCTAGGTTTTCCTGCAATAAAGAAGACAAGAGTTCTTAGTTTGGAAAACAGATTGTTGTAATACAAGATGTGTTATGAGTAATTATGATATGTGAGGTACATATAATGGGACATTTATTACGACAGGTCCAAAAAATGTTTAGGTTATTCTAGGCATTTTTTTCAATTAAATTCAAACTCTATCCACTCTTCCATTTCTCTTCAATCAGCCAAAGACAATGGGATTTGTATGTGTTCACGAATCTCCTTCCTCAGAATGAGGAGGTTTGATGTACTCCAAAATGGAGCTGCTTTGTACTGCACGTGCGATGGGTAGTGGGTAATGGGTAGGTAACTAACAGCCCAGGCGCCAGCTACACTGTGTGATGAGCTCGTACATACACTGTGCCGGTATGTTTGTACCATGCTTTGCGCATCAGCACGTATCATAAAACCCCCAGGCTCACCTCTAGACACTGGGGCTGATGGATGGGCAGCGAGTTTGCCCCGAACTGCCGTCCGCACACGTAGCAGACGACGAACGTGGGCCCGGCGGCGGGCCGGCCGTAGCGCGCCAGCGTCTCGGCCAGGTGCCGCTGCTGCTCCTCCTCGCGCAGCCGCTGCTGCGCCTCGTCCTCCTGCTGCTGACGCTGCTGCGCGCGCTTCTTGTCGCGCTGCTGCTGCTTCCGCTTGGCGGCCGGGTCGAGCGACGGCTGCGCGTGAAACCGCACCGGCACCGGTTTCTGGATGGAGTGCCGTCTCCTGAAGAAGCGGCGCGGCGCGGCGCGCGCCGGCTCCCGCTGGCCCTCCTCCGGGTGGCTGTGGAAGCGCTCCGGGTTCTCGGTCTTGCCGCACGTGACGCAGGGAGAGGGCATGCCGTCCCGGTACCGCGCCACCGCCGGCGGCGAGCGGCTGTGGCTGCTCGACCGGCCAGGAGAGAGAACGGCCGTCCGCGCGCGCTGCTCGATGTTGGGCACGTGCAGCTCGCGCGGTCCGACGGCGAGACGCATGGTGCCCGGCCGGGCCGCCCGGCTGCTGGACGACTCGCTGACGTCATCAGAGACAGGTGATGAGCTGGATGACGCGCCGGAGGAGCTGGAGGACTTGGAGGATGAGGAGGAGGAGGAGCTGGTGGAGCTGGAGCCGGAGGAGGAGCCCGCCGGCCGCTCGGCGCCCGACAGCGAGGTGAGCGCCAGCAGCTCGCTGCAGCGGTGTGCCGACATGTCCACCTGAGCGGCGTGTTCGGCGGCCAGCACCTTGGGCCGGCTCAGGGTGGTGGTCTGCGGCCGGGCGGCGCGGCCCCCGCCGGGGGTGCTGAGCCGCCCCGGCGCGCCCGCCGCTGGCCCGGCCGCCAGCGCCGCCTTCAGCAGGCCGTTGCTGGAGGGCCAGGAGGCGGTGAGTGACGCCACAGAGGCGGCCGGCTGAGGCGGCGCGCGGCGCACGGGCAGCGCCTCCAGACGGACCGGAGTGGCGGCGCGCCGGCCGGCCGGCAGCGCCCCGTTCGCCGCCCGCCACTTCTCCAGACATTTGGGCTCGTGCAGCGCGATGGAGCGCGAGCCGAACTGCTTGTGACACACGTAACACTCTGCGAAGGTGGGCGGACGCACCGGCGCTGCTGGAGAGCCGTCATCTAGGTCCATCATCTGCATCGCGTAGGAACGTCTAAATGAACACGGAATCGGGTGAGCACGGCACTCCCACGTTGGTTTCTATTTGGTTTTTATGGCCAGAACGTCGAGCACTCGCTCATTTCAAAATGAGAAGTTCGGGTTTTAACACTGAACAGTGAATTTGAATGTCATCCACGGTAAAACAAAAAGCGCGTGAAATGCTTGATCGACGAAGAACTTCACCGTTCCCAGTACTGTCTGATGCTGTTTGAGGTTTGCGGGTCTTCTCACTAATCAATTGATTCGCGTTGTCGTTTGACTTGCCGACAACTGAATGTCTCTCGTAGACGCTTTCGTAAAAGGTCAACACTTTGAATGTAATGCGGAGAGCTGTCGATACTGCTGAGAAGCACGAAGCGTTGTCCTCACCACGTCTCCCGTCCAGCACATCGGCACTCGGCACTCTGCAGGTCACGACGTCAACTGGCTGCCGCAGCGTCACGCTGGTCTGCAGGGCGGGTTCAGACGGGGAGTCTCACGATAAGCGCGGACTTACACGGTAAGTCCGGCGCTAAGTACCGACTTACACCGTCCGTCAGTCACTGGGCGGCGACGACCCGGCGACGGTCGACTCCCGACCTCCACTGTGGGCGGCAGCGGCCGGCGACGGGCACGTCCGATCGATCCCATCACCTGGCTGCCGACGGCGACAACACAGCGGCAGCGGCCACAGACCTCAGTCGGTCGCCGCCCGCGCCGGGACAGTCGATACCGCCAGCAGAACCGGCACCGGCACGGCCAGTCCGCACTGTTATAACGTGCGCCGTTCCCGGAACACCCGGCGCTGTTTGTTTGGAGTTTGTCGAACGTGGTATGGCCAATGACGCATAAAGACCTGTAATTTTACAGTCACCTAGACTGCCAGTGATGACTAGGGCTTGTGGCCTGCCATTGACAGGCACTGAAATCACCGAGACAAATATATGAAAGCTCGATAAATTAAAGACTTTGTGGCAAGTGCTTATAATTTTCCAAGTGACATGGTACCTACCATACTCTTTAATTAAATGAAAGAAGGAAAGCGTTGTAGTTTGCTTTTAATTTGGACAAGCTTTTAAGTCCTTATCATGGCAAGCTGAGAATGGCAAATATGATTGAACTCACTGTCTGTGCGCTAAGCCACTTCGGACACTAATGAAGATTGAACTGGCTAGTAAATGTCATAAGCTGGAGAGTCAATAAAGCTAATCTTGTGGAATTATGCAGATTGGGAAACCACTTATTACGTCTTTCCATGGCCAGTAATAACGGCATTATCCTACCAGTAAAACGCCTTTTGGGCGAAGAACGAGCGAGCGAGATAGTGAGCCCTGCACGTGCGGAAGGGCGAGAGGGTACTTCCAACGGACTTGCGAAAGCACCCTTCTAACCGGTCGATAGCCGTGTGCCAAATTTGAACGCAATCGGCCCAGCCGTTCCTGAGATCTGGAAGCGGCATTCTGCACGTGCGCACGTGCAAACGGGTCCAAACTGACTTGCACGGCACCCTACTAACTGGTCCCCAACCGTGTACCAAATTTGAGCGCAATCGGCCCAGCCGTTCTCGAGATCTGGAAGCGCCCCCTGCACGTGCGCACGTGCAGTAGCACCTTAACCGCAACACATGGGAATGCATTGCCTGGTGGGTGCCTACCTGTATGCCAAGTTTCAGCGAAATCGCCCCAGTAATTACCGAGTTATTAAAATGGGAACAAATTTGACACCTCTTATAGTTGTATTTTGCACGTGCACTGGGGGTGACCCACATGCATCGAGAGTATTTTATTTTTGGTAGAAGGGATGCTGCTACCCTACAAAAATTACCGCAAGTCGTACCGGGACGGCTGGGACCACTTCTGCGCCTGCCATCTATCGGGCAGTGTTTGAAACTACAGCGGGCGCCGGCCGGTCGCGCCGCGCGGCGCCGTTACCGGGCCATGGAGGCGAATGAAGTGGTGTAAAACCAGACGAATTTTACGCTTGTAAAGCAAAAAACGAAAAATGTACACTCACCACAGTGTTCAGCAAAGTACTGGGAACAATATGGATATAATTTAAAGCTAGTACGATGCGAACTGTTGGTTCCCTAGAGCAGTATTTACATACTTGTAGGAGATAGGACTTTAGGGTGAATAGGTCAAAAACGCCCTCCTTAAGCGCGAAACTTTCTGACACTCAACCCAACACAGATTACTTAAACATTTGGGCACCATCATGTAGCTCATTCTTTTTACTACGTTTTGAGACCAAGAAAAGACACCTGCGTGAGGTATTTAACCCCCCAAAAAGGTTTTCGCATACCCTTGCAAAAGGGCGTTTTGCCCCATACCCTGGGTAATACGCCCACACCCATGTGCAAAGCGCCCCCACCCCATCTATCAATAGAAAATGATGAACATGGCAGAACTTGACGTCATTCTGACGTCATTTGTGGTCAACCTATCATAGCCTTTGGAATAAAATTTTGTTGCAATGTGTAAAATGGATGCCCAGAGGAGTCCTGAAAGTTTGGTGACGATATCTGCAGTTGTTTAGGATATCAGCAAAAAAGGACAGGGAGAGGCCTTTTCGGCCCCGACCTACAGGGCGCTACCCTGCACTCTCACCACCGTGCAAAACGCCCCCCTTTCACAAAACTGGGGGCGTCTTGCCCCATGCATCGAGTAGGCGTCTTGCCCCATCCACTCCATTTCCGGTCAACAAAATATTGACAAAAAACGCGCCACTAACGCCGCAGCATAATATATTCAACAGAATGACAATAAAACGCAGTTTTGAGTGATGTGCACAATAGCAAGTTTTGTGATATAAAGAGGGCATCAAAATATTAGGAATCTTCTGTAAAAACAACAAAAACAACACCCAAAACCAACATCAGCACCTACCCACGCTGCTCCTCAAGACTCTGAACCGGAAATAGAGACCTACGTAAACAAGCAGCTGACTGTTCTGAAAGACAGGATAAAACACCTATCCGTCGATAAGAAATACGATTTTTTTAGGGGAGGCGTTTAACCCAGGGGTGCGTTTTCCCCATAGTTACCCTAACATTACGGGAGCTTCTAAACTGCGCTCGCAAAGTACTTGATTGTAAATATTTTCATTTAGAGGCAAAAATCCAAAAATGTACAGTCAGAGCGTTGTTCCCAATGCTTCTAGGTACACAATGAGCATAAAGTTAGCTCGAAATGTCATCACACATTGGTTCCCAGTCCAGTTTAAAACGACACTTTGTGCCGCAGAGCCTATCTCTTCCAATGGATGGCGGCTGGGTGGCGGTTGTAGTGGTGGACAAGACAATGCTTGAGTGAAATGAAATCATTTGCTTTCAAAGAAGAATTTTGAAGAACTTGTAATAATTGACAAATTATCGTTAATTACAGTGTATAATTTCAAGTTCATGGCAAATGAAAATATTTTAAACAATGCTAGTGAACCCCAGTACCGCCGCGCGAGAAAGCAAGTACTCGACGCACGGTCTGCCCGCCACTTCTGAAAATGGTCCGCGGCCGGCCGGCCGCGACCCGACACGTCAATCGCCCAAGCGGCTGCTGAGATATGAGCCTATCAAAATCACTACTTTTGCAAAACAGCTTGAACACCCTTGACCTTTCACGTGGCACGTGCCACGACGGTCACTGAGATGTATCAAAAGTAGTCAATTACGGGGACACGGGGTAGAAGGGATGGGGCTACCCAGCAAAAAAGACCGCAGGCCAATCGGTCCAGCGGTTGCTGAGATATAAGCCTCTCAAAAGCGTTACAGGCCGCGGGCCGGGCCGGGCCGCTCATACTGAGATTTTTCCGTTATATTGAAAAGACTTCGCTTCGCTCGCTGCGCTCGCTCGCTCGTAATAAAGAAGACTGCCTACTGTACTACTTTTACAACATCGGAACAAAGCAAGTTCTTAGGCGTAACAGTCTGTACTCAAAGCGTATTTTTTTTTTTTTTTTTACAAAGCAGCCTACCATTCCAGGCAAACAATTGCCCAGCCCATGTATAGTGAAACATTCTCTAGTCTACTGTACTTACAACTTCGTTGAAAGACTGCTGACTTGATTATCTCGGATGTCTAAGCTGTTAGTGTAAGAAAGGAGCGAGGTAACCGGCTTTACCATATGGTGGAGTATGTCTTTAGTATTGGCACGAGCGTTCGGAAATATATATTACTGACCGGGCCGACGAAATTATTTGGAAACGAGGTTTGCAAAATTGACGTAGGCCCAAGTGCGAAGCACAAGGGCCGGAGTCAAATTTTGCAAGCCGAGTTTCCAAATAATTTCGTACGGCTGAGGTCAGTAAGATTTTTCCTACATGCCGCATAGCTAAGTTAGTTTCGACAGGTTTTGGTGACACTTTTATACAATTGTTTTGTCCATATTTTCCTAACAGTGATTGCGCTACTGCTGTGGATAAAGCCTTAAAGGAAATTTATAGAAGAAAATGCATCAAAATACCTTACTTCAAAAAGAATCACGTCTGAAAATATCAACTCAGAATGGCACAACAATTAGATATCCAAGGAACATAATGCTTGAATGATTTGTCACGACATAAGAACAAGAAGAAGGTATAATATTCCAGTAGTGATTAAACGTGAATTTTCCCAGTGCTCTTGCAAGAATCTTTGCTTCATTTATGTAATCGTACTTTGTTGATATGCCCTATGGCTAAACGTTCGTTAAATACATTATATTTTCCATATTTTACATGTTTGTTTCGAGGAAAGGACTACAACTGCCAAATAAAAACGCATTAACTTAGGCCCAAGGTATCAGTGGACATATCAAACGAAGATAAGACAACAAGCGATAACGGATTTCGATTAATAGGCGCATATCTTACCATAATTTCGGCTTTGTAACCAATACAGAATATTTCAAAACCCTTGATAAGCAGAGCAGATATTTACCAAAAAATGTTAGTTTGCTAATTTTACGCGGCAAATATCATGCAATAAAGATGTCAATTATACATTCCCTGTCAATTATACCTCTGGACTAATGCGATAAACTGTAGTTTAGAGGTCATTGCCC